AGCAAATTAACAACGTATCGTTTATGATAATTAACTCGATCTGTATAGTATCCCGTGACAAAAGTCCGGACAATGTCGATGACTGTTTCAGCAATGAACGTTTTCATCATGTTACGTTTTCACCGATCGTTTTCATCATATCGATCGATTTAAGCGTCCGTCCTCGCGCGAAAGCGGATTCGTTTTTATCTTTTCTCCCTTCGTGCTTTCTCTTTATTATTCGCCGGATTCTGAATTTCGCGCACGGCAACAGTGAAATCGACTTCGAGGAAACGAAATTTACCACCCGAAAATTATACGCGCGTGCGTGCTTCGCGGCGAAAGCGTCAACTTGAGACGATTTCGTCGATCGATCGTTCGCGGATCGAAATTATCGCGAAAGAAAATCGCTCGCGATATACACAATATGGTTCGTTACCGATATATACGCGCGAAGATTCTCCTCAGAATTGTACTTTTTCAAGATCCGTTCACACACATACACACACACACACACACAGAACTCGGTTACTTTCACGAATCTCAAATGAGATCATTCTTTGATCATTTTATGGCTTGTGTATTGCGCAATTCGACACTTTCGACGAGTGTGTACGTGTGATACTAATTATAACATGAAGATTCATTCTGTGTAGTTTTGTTTTGGTTTGTTTTTTTTGTTTTTTTTTTTTTTGTTTTTTTTGTTTTTTTAGATAGATTTCTCTTGAATTCCGAAAATCGGCCTTGAAAAAAAAAAAAATCGTTTGCTCTCGTTTCCAGACCGATCATTTCCGGCGATCGTTCCGAATCTTGATGCATTTCGCGCGAGCGCTGATTAGTTGATTACTTGATCAGTGACAATATATATATATTTCTGATTAAGCCGCGAGCGATGTTCCGTTTTGATAAGCTCGAAATCTGCTTCCTTCTATACGTTCGCCTCGCAACATCGACAGAAACCCTTCATTTTTCACCTACTTACACTTCGATACCGTTGAAGTAACACTGAGCGATCATAACGATCGCGCAGCATGTTATTCAATACATGAACAACGTGAAATTTGATTTCGCCATATAAATTGCATTACAAACGATTGTGAAAAAACCTTCCTACGTGTTACACGGGGAGCCGAGATGTTATTCGTCCTCTCTCTCCGCCAACTTCCGAGTTATATCGGGCCTTTATTATCGATTAGGTTCTGATATTGTTTATCGATTTATTGCTTTAACAAATGTTTTTATTCACGTTTACACACCAATGACCAATGAGTTGATTTTTTTTTTTTAATACTTTTTTTACGTTGAATTTGCAATTTTTTTCGAAGCTTTAATTATATTTGCAATTGCTTATCGAGTAAAAACTTTCTGCTTTAATTATTCCAAAGTTCAGTTATTTCCGTAATTCAACAGCAGTATTTTGTAAACATGTAATTTAACACAACAAAATTATACGATGCGTGTATATTGACAGATAAGTTTTAATATTTCGCGCTTTCTCTCGAGAAACAAGTTTCTTTTACTTGCAATTAGATGTAACGTTATCGAGGAACATAATTTGTTTACTTTTAATATTCCGCGAGAACGATCTCGCAATGAATCGTATGTTACTTCCTGATTTACGATCGAGCTGAACGACTTTCGTCGACGATGAAAACGCAAGAAACGTATTGGCACGGACCAATTTAATGAGGAAAGTGCGATTTCCATCTTGCGCAGATAGATTCCGGAGATTGGATAGTTTCTCACGTGTTGTCTCAAAAGTGATGTCGCTTCTTTCGAGAGATAAAGATAATATACGTACGTAAATTTGTGGAAACGCGCAATGACATCAATCGAGAAACAATAAACGTTTTCCCTCGACAAATGATCTATGTTATCAAGTCAAGAGAAAAAAATCACGTGTCAAGTTTACCGATCGAATTGCTAAAACATTAGAAGCGATAGTTTAGTGTGAATGTAAAAATACAAACTGTAAATGACGAACTTCTAAAAAAACAAGGTGTAAGAAACTTGTGTGTATGTGTGTGTGTGTGTGTGTGTGTGTGTGCGCGCGCGCGTTAGTGATTTGTTTTCTAAATATTTATTATTTTAATTCTTGGATGTAAATATTTTTAACGACACCGCAACATTGAAGAGAAAATCCGCTGAAGAAACCGAACAGTACAAAGAAGATAGAAAGTAAAATAATTACACAAAACGGCTCGATCTAAAGGAGCTTTCAGCTTCTGAACTCTCAATCCGCCCGCGAGCACAGGGTCATGTGAATGTCATGAAGAGGTCGATTCCCTTTCGCACGGGCGGCGATGCGTCTTCTCTGCCCTCGTCTTTTTCTTGTCAAGATGAACCTACTACTCCGTCGACTTCGCGAGAGAGAAACATCGGCTCCATCATCACCCACCGCGACTCAATCTTTGACAGCATCGCGTTGGACGTTTCGTACGCCGGTCTCATGTCCGAGACCGATCTCGTCGACTCTGCGGTCAATCGAACGAGACAGAACGTTTTGTCGCGACAAGATGCGTCTGATTCGCCGTTGTTCTGGGAGGATATCGGTGTCGTCGAGTATCTCGAGAGGAAACTCGGTCCGCCGGACGAAAGCACACCGGAAGAACGTGTCGAAACGCTCCGCGAGATCCTGGCCGAGAGAACAGAAATACACGAAGGCGATGGCAGTCTCTCGGACTTTTTGTTCCACGTCGCGCGAACCAAGCACGGCAAGATCTACATTAGAGTTATTCGAACTCTGCTATTGAACAGAGGTAAATTAGTTGTTAAGCTTTTTGATGCAATATTAGTTACTAAGACATTTTTACGTCGGAGACTGTTTGCTCTTGAACAAGTGCAAGTTTATTTATAGACGTGCAAATACTGGATCTATATTCAGTAACTATCTCCGTTTGATCTCATTAACGGTGGAAAAAAAACATAATTGATTTGATCAATTCTTAAATCGGTACAATACGCTCACGCCGCGTGCGAGATCGGATCTTACGACATTCTGGAACATGTCCCGATCTTCTGTCGCGACGGCAGACAAACGAAGTTAAATTTATAACATCCATAACATGTCAATAATTGCGAAAATGATCGCAACTTCGAAGATCAGGGGCGAATCAACGCGTCGCCGCTGCTGCAGGGTGAAATGCCCGAGATGTCGGACGGACTGCTGGTGGTTTTGCCGCGGAAACAGGCGGCCGCATATTGCAAAGCTTCTTTGAAAAAGATCGAACGCAAGCAGGTGTGGATTCGTCGGAATCGTCGAGAGCGGCAATCGCACGGCGGCGCGCATAATAATCGTCAAACCGCGAGTTATGTCGAAATGCTTCCCAAAGATAACGATGATTCCTCCTTGTACTCGCCATACTGTTGCAATTAAAACAACTTTAACGTTCTTCGACGTGTTATTTTACAAATAACAGTATACAATTAAAGTACGATTCGAAAGTTCGGTAACAAGATAATTCTAAAATGTATATTTTGCAAGATGACGAATTGATAATATATAATAATTGCATTGTCACATGCTTATAAAACGTACTTACGTTTTGTTTCTTTAATAGAAATTAAACTTGAATGACACGAGAAAACGCTTACGTCTAATGAAGAGACGCGGCTAACAAGTTTACGGTTAACAAAACATTAGCATCATGCTGCACACCCTTCCGGTTTTCCTTTCCCCGCCGGTCATGGGAAATCCGTGAACTCTCATCCCGTATTATTCACGCGCGTCTCTATCTTTTTATCTGTTCCCACAATTACACTCTATATACATGGGCATTTTGCACGCGAATCATGTAAACGCGAGGTCCTTGACGTCTATCGCGCTCGGTGACTTAATCACGGTGTAATTCATGCATGACCGAAAAAGTCGGAAAATTTATCTCCTACTGAGATTTTTTTAGCGAATAACGTAGAATCGTTAGATTCTAACGCAAAATATAATTTCTATCAGATAATCATATGTTTTGTAAATCAAATAATCATTATTTTCTCATTTACGCCATCTTAAAAGAAGCAAGTCACCATATAAAAAGATCGATTCAACCGTCGCGTCGCGCAGTTTTAATCTTTCTTCCGACCAAGAATCTCGTTTAGAAACTTGTTTGACGATTTAAAGCTAATAAGCATCGTGTTTTTGCATGTATTTTTTCTTCTTACCCGGTGCAAGGAAATACGTTTTCTACTCGACGCGTTCGTTTGTCAACGTGAGAGGTCAGGCCGAAACGCGCGACCTTGTCAAATCGACCTCGAATCGATCGATATCGTGCTTTCGAGCGCGCCGAGATATAATTCGACACGCTTGGGAGAGATCGCGGGTATTTCGAATACGCGCGACTTCCACGGAAAGCGGCGTCGCGACCGTGAAAACATGGATTTTCATGGTGCGTTATCCCGACGATGCGAGAGAGAAGAGCGCTTCCGCGCGCTACTTCCATTCATGTTTCACCTACGAAACAGGATGCAATCTCGCGGAGTCTTCGCTACCGCGCGGGCTCCGACACACGTCATAACAGGGCAACAAATTTTTTGATCGACGTTGTAATAGCGCGCGTCGTGTTTATACGTCGTCATCGTTTCTTTAAAATTGCCGTTTACAATGTGATGCAAGCTCTCAATAATAAAATAAAATTTTCAGAAAAGAAAAAAATATAAATTGCAAAACTAAAAATTAAAAACAATAAAATTACTCGGTAATTGTAATGTGAAGATTCAATTTTTGTGTTGCCAGTAGCCTAAATATATATACATGATATATTACTTTTCAATTTTCTTGATAAAATTTATGCATGCAAAACCGACGAGCGAGGCGGATAAATAAGATCGACTTGGGAGTTGCCGTTTAATTGAGCGCCGCGACGCGCCAAGGTTGAAGGGTTGCGGCGCAATGCACTACTGGGGTTAGAGCCACCACCTTTCCTTTTTATAAATTGGCGGGGTTGTGCGCGCGCTGAACGGGTGGTTCTCTCGTTCCGCCCGCGCGTTCCCGTTCCACGGCGTTCCGGTTGTGCGGCACGGGCGATTTAAGATGGCGCATTGATCTTGGTCGCACTCGCGTGACGTTTCGTTTCAATCTCGTGCACGCCGCTGCGTTTGTATCGCTACGACGATCACGCCTATAATAGCAGAATTGTGGCATTGGAGAGCCGCGCATTGCGCGAAAACTCGGTATGTGACAACGCGACGTCCGTCTCGTTTCCGAAAAGTTGGTACGCGCGCGTTGGCAATGCCGAGGTGAATTCCTGTGAGTCGTCGTCGGAGTGACGTCAGACGCTCTGCCGGCTTCGCCCCGCTGTCAACTCGCTTGTGCGGTGGAATAATCCGTTGGATGGTAAATAATCTCATTAATTGCGACATTAATTTGTGCACGTGTATATGTAGCGCCAATTAAGTCCCGAGTAATTGATTACAAGATGGTGAATCGCGAGATCTCGAACGCTGTTTTGGTTGCGTTGAAAAACTTTCGTCGCGTCGCGCGACCAGAACTTGAAGTTTGATCGTGTCCTATCTTCATCTCTTTCTTAATTTGTTGTTCTGTCTTTCTAACAGCTGTTATCACGAATTCACGATTCTTGCGATTACCATAACGCGTCACGTGAATGCACAATGCTTCGTCATTCATTCTTTGAAATTCATTTTTCTTTTCATGTTGACAATATATCTTTTGAAAAAAAAAAATAGTTTTACTTGAAATGTACTTGCGTGTCTGCGCAATAAATTGATAGTTTGTTTTTTTCACACTTATTTGTACTATTTTTCATATTTATTTAAATAAATGTTCGTAAAATAGTTTTACTTATTTATTAGTTATAAAATTTTTTGTTTTCCCGAAGAAAACTCACAAGAATAAATTTTTTCTAACTTGGATTTTAAATTAGAATTTTTTTTGTATGATTTGCAGTGAAATTTTATGTAACTGTCAGTTGGTTGCTTTAACACAAATTACATTTACCTCGACTGAAATCCAACGATCTCTTCTCGTCGAATCTAATATTACATTAGCTCGTCGTAATGGGGATTCGCACAGTGCCGATAACGGCCTCGAATTAGCGTCTAATTATGCAATATAAGTTCTTTGTTCGCTTAGCTTTAGTTCCTGAAGACTTGAAAAACAGATATAAAAACTATATTATTAAACGTACGAGACAATTGCACATTAATTGCGTTGCCGCGCGAAATAGGACATAAAAAACATAAGAAACGGCATGGATAAAACAAAAGCGCGGATTTCATAATCCGATTATTTTGCAATCGGTAATTTGCATTCACGTTGCAGAAAGCAGGAAACACAAAATGATACTGGTTACACAGTAATAATCAAGAGAACTTTGCGGTACCGGATTTTCTTTTATACTTTTCAATCGTTTAAATACACGAAGGACCTGTTCAGAAAAAAATTACATGACAATTTAAAGATGACGATAGAAGCAAGAAAAAAAATAATATACGTGAATATATAAAGAAAAAAATTTATTGTAAATGCATAAATTAAATTTTTTGTTTGTTTGTGTCTTTGATTACGTAAAATGTTCGAAATATCGCGTGAAGCCATCTTACAGCTACATGTGCTTGCGTTACAAACTTGTTTAATCGTTTAATCAAAGTGTTTCGTAGATTCTCTCGATTATACCTGCTTGCTGCAGATTCTTATGCAAGCGTGGCGCACGAAGAAAATCAATAATTACCTGCACGTCTTTACCTCAAGGTGATATACGAAGCGCGATGCGGTCGCGACTTGTTTTTTGCTGCCTCTGCCGTGTATCATCTTCCTATTAGCGTCATCATTTGGAATATTTCAGGTCGAGTCAACGGAGATTGATATCACGAATCCGGGACAATATGAAAGAGAAAGTGCACATACGGGAAATGATAACAAAAGACGCTTTATTGTAGTTAGATATCAATCAGTAGAACAAGAAGTCACAGTTAATAGAGACGTTAATTCGAAATTCCGTTACGCACATATGTCAACGGTTTCAATTACATTCTGTTTTGTTATTTTTAAACAAAAAGAACTCGACCAATGTTTATGAAATATTTAAAACAGAAAATTAGGGTGATCCAGAATCATCGCTGGAATTTGTTGCGTTATTATTATTTTTTTAATATGTTATTTTATAATTTATAACATAAAGATATATAAAAAACATCATTATTAGTCATCATTTGAATGCAGTCGCATTGATAGATGAATTTATGTTTCTCCGCTTGTGCTGTGCACCCGATCGTTCTTCATTTTCCTCGCAGTGCATTTCCGCGCACCAGTTGAAGCGCGTCGTGAACAACTATTATATGACAGCTCTTGATCCCGGAACCGGTCCACGGACCACGCGTATATCCTGGAGGAGGACAACGCGGCTACTCGCGAGAGGAGGACGTCGACGCCGGACGTCGTGGAGCCGGACGAGCACGGCCGCGACGATCCGCAAGAGGATGATCCGTATGAGTACGACGATGACATCAGACCGACAACGTCCGGCATGGGGCGCTGTGACGTCGACTCCGACGTCGAGGACGACGAGGAGTGCTTGTCCTTGTTCGAGGCGGCCAACTACCTCGTCTCCGGTACCGCGTCCACGATACCGACGACGAAGGTCGGCGCGCCCTGTTGGGGATGCAAGAGCTGCGCCGTCGAGGGCCTGCCGTTGTTCCTTCTTGGCTCGCCGACGGAGGCATCCCGCACGTGCGCCTCCTGTCAGTAATCCGTGATTTTGCTGTTTGTTCGCCTGTGGTCACTACACGTCGTTGTCTCTCTCGTGTTCGCACTGCGTCAGAGTTTGTTTTGAAACACAGCTAGTTTTCCGTTAATTGCGAGAAGATAATCTGCGAAAGAGAAGAAGGCTTAAACATTCCGATCAATCGATCACGTTTATTATCTAATTACACAGACGCATTACGAATTATGTAACTTTCTTACTTTCTCTCAACATTCTTGTTCCCCGCTATTTTGTATTCTAATCAGCGCAATATCTGAAATGTATTTTTGTAATATTTCTAAAATATATATTTGTAATATTCCTTTATACTCTTCAAAGAGCTGCAAATGTAAATTTACTCGGCGCAGACAAAAAAAAATATTTGACCAAACGTCATGTATTTATCTGGCGCAGTGTGGACACTTCTAAGTATCTCGTCGTCATCTTAAATCACTCGACTTCTTTCACACCCAGTTGTGTTATTTCTTTTTCGTGCTGCTTCCAAGTTTTGTTATCACCTTTGAAAAATATTGTTCAAAAAAAAACGTCGTCGATTTATTATACGACTTAAAAAATACCAGCGTAGATTGCGCGATTGCATGTGCGTTAGATAAGTTGTACATCGCGCGCGATAAACAAGTAACGGTTTGTTTCGCGTGATAAAATTTTCGATAAGATACCAATCGATTTTGCAAAAAACATGCTTATGTTAAATTTCTTCTTGTTTTTGCGCAGTTTGTGTTTACGTTTTTCTGTCCACGTAGAAATATTTTATTGTATTGTTGTATTCTCACTTGCTGTTGTCACACATCATGCGTCATAGATTTTGCTTCGGGACACGCTTTAGCGAAGTTTCGCTTTACAGTTGCGGAATGAAACAATCTCCACAGAAATAGGTAATTTCACGTTGATGTCGGGTTAACGTACACGCAGAACGTGCATTTACATGCATCCTCGTGAGGATGCCTTCTATGCGGCACGAGATAGCCGTATCTGCATTCTCATCATACCAGATCGACGAGTCCATGCGTTGTCTCGGTGAACGGAAAAGGAGAGACAGGGACCGGTTTTAAAGAAGTGTCCCATACCGAACTCTCGCATCATCATCGATGCAAATTCCCAGGCTGTATGCGTCTAGTTCGATATTCCATAATCCAGGAGCAGATATGAAATATTTATCTAGCACACTCTTGAAACAAACGAGTTTTAATGTGTGAAATGAATTTCGCGACAGTGTTCAAAAAATTTGTATATTTTCAGAGTATCGAATTTTACTATTAGTATTGTCTCTTAATATATTTTTACTTCTTTAAACTTTGCAAGGGAAATCTTTGCTTCACATATCGAGGAATCCGCGCCGGATTCTCTCTGAAAATTCGCTCCTCGATCATCGCGATCAATTGGCCGTGAAGGTGTCTGTTAACATACTTCACGCGGAGGACATCGTCGTTACGAAGACGACGAAGAGAGCACTTCGGAATGCAGCGGTGGGCATCGAAGCGCGTGCGTCTTACATATTGGAATTGAAAGCGACCTATTACATTCGTTTAGTCTCGCTTCTTCAACGTTATTACAGTTCTTTCTTTAGCGAAGAAGAACACTTGTACGAATCTACTTATGTAATGAAAATACCATCGAATATCTTCGTCAATCAATGGTAATTTACGTTTATCTCAATTTTGCGAGATAATAGCTTCTTTATAAAACCAAAATTTTCGAACGAAGTTTTAACAAAGTTCAGTGACTTCTAAATAAATTCACGATAACTAATTTTTTTTTTCCAATGCTTTTTTTTCCGTGCAACGCGCACAGAAATTTTCTTTTGGATGTGTTTATTTTGGATATCACGGAGGACAGTGGAGAGGGCTCAGGGATGCGGCGCCACGTGCAAGAGATGGACGTGCGTCTGCGCTTTTGGACAACCGGGTGGAAAGTCGATCGATGAAAAGGGATAGTGTAAAGGGAGAGATTCAATGCCACAACTCTCTCGCGCAGCGCGACGAGCGTCATCTCTCCACGCTTTCCTGTTTCTTTCCGTTTTCGCGTGCCGCGTTTTCTCGTTGCTCTCATTAGATAGACACGCATTTCTCAATACAAGACATACACGCGATCGTTTGTCTGTTCACGATTCTCTTCGCGAATTTTCTTACAGTCCGTCTCGTGCGCGAAACGAGCAAGCATCTGTTGGTCTCTCGTTTGTGTTTTTGCAAAAACTCGAAGTATAACAAACTTAAAAAAGAACAACAAAGTTGAAACAACAAAACTTAAAGTAGAAAAACAGGATTATATTATTTTTTTCCTGCGTTTAAAAACGTGTGTGAAATAAAAAGAGAGAGGACGATAGTGTGAACCTGATTTATTAATCTTTCAAAAACAAATAAAAAAATATGGCGGATCTAAATTTTTATAAAGTGAACAAAAGAGAACGTAACGAACTTATTTATTAATAATTTTTATGAAGTGAATGAAAAAGAACAAAGCTAATCTATTAATAAATATATGAAGTGCACAAAAAATGTAAACAAATTATTTTAAATAATTTGTTTCATAATAAGTAAAAGCAATGTTTATGCGCACTTTTGGCACGCACGTGTCACGAGATCGCGATTGTTCCCAACATGTGAGAATCGTATCAGAATCTTTTAAACTTCGTGAACTCACAGGTAATATTTCCAACGTAATTTATTACAGTCACATACGGCGCAAGAAAAACAATTACATGCATAATTACGTACATATAAATATCTGACCGGAATGTGTACTTTGTTCGCATTTGAACTGAATAATTGCTCACATTTTAGAAGTTACTTGCTGACACAGAAGATTTATAAATAGCGAGAAATCGATTAGCGAGTCACATGCGGAAAGATCGAACGTGTATTATATTCTGTCTGTCTACTCGGTTCGCTTCTGAGATGAGCTTCGTTCGTGATATTATAACTCACACTTCGATATTTCTGTTGCGCATCAAAATTTAAACCAAAACTCGTTTTGGTGAGTACAATAATTGTTTATGCTGCGAACAAGTGAACATGAAAATAAAGATTTTGTTGTGTCAATAAACGCAGAGATTTTTCGCATGTAGCAACGCGATTCAAACTTGCTGAAATCGAACCGCGGTTTCTATCACAAAGTCAACGAGCGTCACCGATACGCAAATAGATCGTGCGCAAAACGCCGTTCGATAAAAAAGAAATATGACACTACTGTGCATCGATTGTGTGTGCTCTTTACAAGTTGTAAAGAAGTGCATTGTACCGCACGCAATGTGTGATCACTTCTGTAAATAGATAATACAAATACGTATGTAATTTACGTAAAAAGAAATGTTACATCGTTATATTATATCAATCACTAACCACATAGAATTAGTGTACTTGTGTAAACACAACATTGAAAATAGTATTACAAAATAGATTTATTTCTATCACCATGCAAAATAAGGCAAATGTTTCTCGCTTGTAGTGTTCAAGATTCGGACATTCATAGTCCCGACGGCCTCTCTGCATATACTCGTATTATTTTTTTTTTTTTTTTTTTTTAGAAAAAACTGTGTTTTCCCAGCGAGCAATGTAACAACAAATTTTATTTTGTTACAGTCTTATGTAGCAACCGGGTGAGCCAAATGACCAAGACCTATAATGACATAGAGGCAGTTACAAGGCTTCTGGAGGAGGTAAGCTCGAGCGGAAAAGCTAGAAGTTAGAGTCGAGTGCTACGCGCATCGCGTCGTTCAATTTTCACCGATTGCAATATCGGTATATGTATCTGAAAGTAAACCGATAATATAATTGTGTTGACGAATCGATAGAGCTGTGTGAACAATCGACAGTTAGAATAAACAATCGCCCGAGTAGAAAATCAAACGCGGCCCTGAGAAGGGCGCGCTAGGTTTTGACCTGTTGCCTGATCAGATCTTATTAAGGCAACCTGACAGCGCGCCCTGATCAAAAATGTAACGTTGTGTTACGTATGGCCCTGATAACAGTTTTCTAATCGGGCCCTAGTACGGCGGATCTTTATAAAGCCCTGATAGAGGACTGTAAGAGAAAGAAGAAGGTTTGTGGATTGATATTAGACTTTTTAATTTACATATAATTATTTATTTATAAACTATATATAAAATGTGTGTGCATCTTACATGAAAATTAAAGTATCACAAAATTAAAATGTCACAAAATATAATCACACACATAAAAAAAAGAAAATGATTATAATAGAGAAATTATTATATATAATATATATTATTGTTGTCTAAGAGACATTTTGACAGTCATTAGAGCCTTACGTTGAATATTAGTTGCGATTTATATATATATATATTATATAAAATAAAAAATTTTAATGTAGTATGTACGTACTTTTTTTCGAATTGCACGAAATCTTTTAACACATATTCGTGTTAATTTTCTAATTTTTTCTGCACGATTCGTTATTTTTTATTTCACATTACACATTACACATGTACAGTATTTACAACAGTAAGAATTGCGATTTCACAAAGAAATGTTCACCAAACTCTCGATGTTTCCATTTCAATTTGTCGTGCGCACATTTTTGATAGAGAATTTTAGAAAACACCCAATAAGGGCCGCATAAGGATTTCCTTAATTAGGCCCTAATAGAGCAGCCCTCATTGCGGCGCCGACAAGGATGCCACGCGTGTCAAATAATATGATAACCCTGATATATAGGCACTAATAGCGCCGGGATCAAGCTTTCCACAATAAGGCATGTCATGAGATTACCTGATTGCGCCCGAAGCAAAATGCAGGCAAACCCTAATCCATTTTCTACTCGGGTGATCTTATGATTTTTTCTGTTATTTTTTATTTTCAATAATCCAGGAATTATTGAAACATTAACAGCATGACAAAAAAGAAACAGCTGGATCTTTCTTTTTCAACAGAAAGAGAAAGACTTGGAACTGACAGCGCGCATCGGTAAGGAATTGCTGGCGCACAATCAGAAACTCGAGACCACGGTAAACTCGTTGGAGGCCGAGCTCAAGGAGTCAAACGAGAAGATCACTCAGCTGAATCATGAGGTGTTGAAGAAAGCTGAGCTGATACAGATATTGACGAACGATGTGGATGAGTCTAGCTCAGAGGCCGGGACACCGACCGGCTTCCGTGGGATCAACCTGGAGATGCTGCAGAGGAAGGTTAACACTCTGGAAGAAGAGAACAAGCAACTGCGCACCGAGTTTGCGAAGTTGTCGCACGACGCCGACAATTGCGAAGAGCAAGAAACAAGACTTGTGAAGGACATTGCAGCGCAATTAGGTATAATATAAATCTGTTGCACGCGTTTATTGTTGCATTAAATATTTTTCGAAACAGTTGTTGTAACTTTCAAACTAATTGATTGACAGCAACTGCCAACATGGAGGTGGACGGAATAGCAGAGGAACTCGGTCGTCAGAAAGAGGAGAATCGACTGCAGCACGAGCAGATAATCAGTCTCACTGCGAAATTAAAAGAGACGGAACTCAGGCTTGCTCAGCTCATGGCGGAGCACGACGAAGTGGGAGCGACGCTAGTCATCACTAGAGATAATCAAAATACGCTTGCCAACGAACTGGCCGAATTCAAAGAGCGTTATGCGGAGGTATGGGCGCATCAGAACGAAATGATAGAAAAATACGATTAATTACTGTTAACTGTCTATTGTATTATATTGTGTAGTTAAAAACCTTGATAAATATATAATAGATCGAGATCTGTATAAGTTTACTAAAAATACGCTGTACATGTCGTATATTTGTTTGCATGCCAGGTGGTGAATTTGCTAGCTGAAACGCAAGAGCAGTTGCGAAAACAAAGGAAACGCGGAATGCCAACTGTGCGCGGCGGATCGTTGTTCCCATCGATGGGTGCAGCGCCCCAACCGGATTCTATAGCTTCTGAATTGGAATCGTCTCTTTACTCGGAATTGAGTGTTGATTCCGGGATCAGCACAGGCGATCGAATGTACGTTGCACAATTTTTGTTGCACATCACCTCACGAGCTGCACTTTTTTTATATTTATATTTATTAAGTTATAAATCTATTTTTATTGTTTCTTCTTCTCCAGACCAACCTACAAGAAGGTATTCGAAACCGTTCGAAGCGCGTCCCGAACATCGTACGCAGGTTTAGATCCCAATCAATTTCCCAAGATAGGTTCTATGACAACGTCAACATTGTCTACCAATTCGGTTGGTCCCCGCATGAGTTGCGGACAAATACGACCACACGCGTCCGCATTTCCTAGCTTGGACTCTACTGGTCATAGTGAGAGCGAAGGGTCTGTTCACGAAGCAGAAGATTATCCGTATGTATTTTATCTTTTTTTCTCAAGATTGATGGTCTTCTGTAACTAATAACATATGAAACTCTTGTTTATATTCAGAGCTCCGCAGGGAATGGGTATACCTGGTGCTCCCGGTGCAGCTGATCTGGAAGCTGCTCTGCGTCGTCTAACACCGGCCGAGGTGTTAGCCAGACGTGCGTGTCTCAGTACAGGTGCCGGTTACAATTACGATTATGACGGCGGTGCGATACACTCCCCTTCAACTTTTCCGCCGTTTGATTGTCGCACTCCCGACAGCATCATGTCGACCGGTAGTAGCGGCAATTTGAGCGGTTTCGGTGCCAACGCGTGGCGTATTCCGCAAAAGTTGCAGATTGTTAAACCGTTGGAAGGCTCGCAGACATTGCATCATTGGTCGCGATTGGCGACGCCAACACTGGGCGGTTTGTTAGAAGACAGGCCGGGAGTACAGACGAGGGGTGGCCGTGCTCTTGAAGATCTCGGCCTCTTGACATTCACTCTCAGCGATCTAGAGGAAGACGAAGAGTACACCTCCAATCCTGGAAAACCATTCCAGGACACCGGTTCCGTTTACACCTTTACAAATAGTACCGTAATGCATCCGGATGATCATACCACCAGCAGCGTGACACCGAGCATCGTCGGCAGTCGCGTTGCCACAGCGCCTAACAGTGGCATGAACTCGGGCATGAATTCTGGCATGAGTACCCCTCGCACGCACAGTCGTCGCAACTCTACGTCCACGTTTTCCACTACGCTTGGACTGGCCAAGATGCTGAACGAAAGAGGTATCAAAGCTGTCACGCCTTCGTGTGTAGGCACGCCTACGGACGAGAGGAACTTTTCGCCGACCGCTACGCCGTGTAACAGTCCGGATGCGAGTTTGTCGCCTACGAGATCATCGTCGCCGCCGCTTCTGGAGAGCGGCGCGTATCTGACGTTTGGACTGCTCAGTACCGGCGCGGAACTGTTAAGGCGCACCTTTAATTACGAACCGCCGGCATCATCCAAGAAGAAGAGATCAAAATCGAATATATCGCGTTCCGATAAAAAGGCTCTCACCGGAATACGCCTGGTTGAGAAATTGGAGAGAATTGGAATTGACACGATAATGGCAACTACTGTTAACTCGTCGATCTCACCGTTGGCACTGCAAGGCGCTCTGTACACGCGTCGCTCGACTGGCAGCCCGATGGCGCAACTAACTTTCCTCAAAACCTCAATGTCCTCCAGTAGCAGCCAAGAGAAATTGATATCTCCTTCGTCTTCAACATCCTCTATTAGCGATCAAGTCGTGTCGGGTAAACCACCGTTATCAAGCAAACGGAACGACAAGGAGTCTACTGTGCCCGGTTCCAGTGCATTTAATTCGAGAGCCGCGGGTCAGTCGCCGGATCGACAGCGGCGATCAGGTGCTAAAGCGACGAGACCCGATTTGGGACGAGTTAAACCGCCGGTTTCGCCGCCAGTCACTAAAGAGTCTGCCACGCAGTCGGCGCTGGGAGCAATTAGTTCGCTTCTGTTCGGCCGCAAGGGCGGCTTATTGTGAATATTTTGTAGGATTTGTAGTGCGATGTAGGGAAACGAATTGATTGATTTCAGCAAATTAATTTTTAAATACATTAGCGAAAAAATGTTTTCGGTGTTCAAAGTGCAGGATTTTCAGTTCGTGCGTTTATCGCTTGAGTGCATGATATATGCGCCTATCATTATGTTGTAAATGATGGGCGTGCTGTTTATTGTCGGCATTTTGATTTGTGTACAGCGGCTTTTAATCCAATGATCAATTTTATAAAATACACAAATCTTTTTCACACACGAATTCCGATGACTCAAATCTAATAGGTCTAATGATCCTATACGAATCACAGTTAGTAATATACAAAGTATCTTTGTATATTACAAATTTATTATATTTTAAAATTTTATTTAGAAAATCGTGATTGTTAAAAAGTGAGACAAAAAACACGAGTTTTTTTAACACAATCTGTACAGTAAGCACAAAATACCTTTTATCTCAATAAAAAGTATAAAGAACTAAAATCGGGATATACGAAGAAGAGGTAGACACATTTGGTAGTTTGTGGCAAATGAAAAGGAAAATTGGTCAATAACTGAAAATATATACTTAAAGATTATTTAATTTTATGATTACGTTGAAGTTTACAAAGGCTCAATCCCGTTAACTTCAACTTTGTGATCGACTGTAACTACTCGATGTGGGTTATGAACAGGATATAATTCGCTTACGATTGACTATATATCTATGGACTGTGCCAAATGTCTTGTTACATTATCACTATTTTCGAAGAGAAAAAAAACTACAGGAAAGCAACTATAAATATATTATTCAACTACTAGAGTGCATTGTTCAATATAAATTGTAGTTTTATATTTAGCATTTAAAAACTCAAAAGACTTAAAAGTTAAAATGACAAATTAAGACTGCTATATTTTGCTGTTAAAAATATACGTATGTATTATATATTTATGTATATTTTTTAAGAGCTCTTTAAACTCTTATAATTTTTATTTTTGTTAAATTTTGTTCATTTTTATTTTTAATTTTGTTATGAAAAACACTCGGGTTACAATTGTATTGCATTTCTTCTGACCAACATACACACAGTCCATACTTATCTAGTCAAAAGAGATCTATTTGATGGTAATAATTTGAATAACAAAGGAAACAAGATGATACACAAAAACAGTTTTAAAAAAATAATACTCGCAGGGTAATTAATATTATGTATTCAAAATTCACAGCTCCAATGACTCAAAAGTGAGCTCTAGTATATATGTATCACTTACACACATACACACAATATAAATCAGTAGTGTACAAAAAAAAAACTACTGGAGGAAAAAAATTAGGAAAACTGCTGCTTTGGTTCAATTTCTATGATTTTTTTTGCACAAAGTCAGTCTGTTTCGGTGCTAATTTATTTTTCTTCGGCAAACGCTTGTTTGAAAGAGTACGTGTAGCGGCACTGTCGATGCTATTGTCAGTCTTTGCGCACGGAAGATTGTGCATTTAGCGTTGATTTAATAGGGATACTGTACATAGTTGTAATAAAGTGCGGCAAAGCGATGAAAAAATGCCTTAAAATATTTTTTAGTGGTTTTTTTTTCTGATTATTCTCGTATCTTAATAATTTATTTCTATTTTATTTTCTGCAAACGAAAAAAACAAAGGCGAGTTCCTTTAAACTGTAAAAGAACTGTATTATATATAAGAAAGGGAAGAAAGTTTAGCTCGACGCAGCTTTGTACACACAGACGTACAAATAGTAATAAATTAAGTTGGAAAATAACTGTGTGTGTCGATATTTTACCTGGTTTGCATCTACCGCTATCATCTCCTCACACGCTAGTTCTTTTGATCCTTCTCGAGAATTAATTGAAAGAAAGATGCAGCAAAATAGCTGATGTAAATAAAAGAACTAAATAAAAAACCTAAACGAAGTGATGAGATTCATCGTGTTTTTCAAATCTGTTCAGCAGATCCGTTATCAACAGATAACAGTTGTCTGCTTCTTCGCATCTCCGCAACAGATCGGGGAGCCACCTTCTCTTTTCTTCTTTTCCACTTTCTTGACTTCTTTCAATTCCTGCTATTCCTGCATTTCAATTCCTGTATTTCCTGCATTTCCTGCATTTCCTGCGTTCGTTCCATCTTGCTTAACTGGACACAGCCACAGACTTCTATATACTACACTAGACCGCTAGCTCGCGTGATTCCAGCGTAGATAATGGCTACAAAATCTATGTACAATGGGGGTACTGTGGAATGCGGGTTTCATTGGT